ATCATTGAAAATCATGATAGATAGAGTGAATATTGAAATGTGTCATATTGCGTTTTTCTAATATGGAAGGTCCAGGAAGGCCAACCTGGAATTTGTGTAGACCGCAGTCAGATATTAAACAAATATCGAAATCAAACAAAAAACAGCAACAAAAATTTAACCAACCAATTGACACAAAGGTTGTACAAGGTTATCGATACATATTTTTCATCATTCTAGTTTCAAAAATTTTAAGTCAACTTAATCAACTGTGATGAACGAATATTATATATGAGTACTTTGTTGAATGAGTTTTCATTAACGAAGACTTATCCTTCCTCTTTTACATGCTGAGTTTTTATTTAACATTATTTGGAAATACGATACTTGGTTGCAAAAAATGAAAACACTCAAAGTGTTTCTCAGGAAATTTGTTGAAATATGTCATGATAACAAGTCTTTCATTCAATGGTCACATAAATATCCAACTCCCTTGGCCATTTCATGTTGAAAGAGGGTCCCAGTCTTTTAAGAATTTGTGTTACTTAAAAATACTGACAGTATAGTTTAGCTCTCTTATGTCATAAATGAAGAAACATGGGCACTCTTAAAATAAGTATGGGCAATTTCATGAAAAAATTGTGAGAAATAAGGAGGGAAAAAGGCACCGTGTAATGACCAGACCAGCAGGGTTAACATGTTCGCTTAATGGGGAGACATATGTCACAGTCGGATCCCAGTCCCAGGGGTGAGAATCAATTACCTAGAATCAAAAAACAGCCGTTAGCAGTGTTAAGACTACGATGGTCTCAAAATGATTCATAAATGTGCCTGCGAATGAACAATGAAGACAAAATAATTGTGGTATAAGAACTATTACTGTGTGTTTCTGTGTGTGGGTGTGTGTGGGGGTGTGCCTGCGAAATTAGGTGACATGTGATGACTGATTGGTGAGGCCGTGTGGCACGGGGCCAAGGGACAGCATGGCATGAGAGGTCTTGATTCTAATGTTGGGACTTTATCTGATCCTAAGAGTCTTGAATAGACCACCCTGCACCTCTTTATTTCCAGAACTTTCCTCATCGACAGATTGAAGGTACATACCCTGTAAGGATGACTCAGCTTTAGAATTCTTGAATTTTCTGCTTTTTTTTTTAAGGAAAAAAATCCCTGAGGATGATTTTAAAAGTCACCAGTTTGCACCTTGTCACCTAGAAAATACCAAGGGAAATGTTTCAGTCTTCTTTGATGCTTCTCTCTTCATTGGGGCACTGGCATGGTGGTGGTAACATCTCTGGCTCTATCTCTCCCCACTTCCTTTCTGTTCACCTGTTGATTTATCAGTGATGAGATTTATCAGTGATGAGATGGTTGTGAGGACACCATAGCTCCTAGGTATTCACAGGAGTAAAAGTAAATGGTTGAAATTCACTAGCAGTGGGGGTGGGGAAGGGCACCTTTACCTACTGGGACCTGCCAGGCAGAAAAAGGTCCTCAGCAGAGTTGGTTTTGCTTGGGGGGAGATGTGGACTGAGAATGTGGCATGTTTTTTATCATAAGTCAGTGTCTTCCTGTCTTGGTGTGTTGGGGCTGTTAGAACAAAACTCTCCAGACTTGGGTGGCTTATAAGAGATTTATTTCTCATGGTTCTAGAGGATGGAATTCCAAGGTCAGGGAGCATGGCTGGGTTCTGGGTTATAGATGGACCAATGGTTCCCCATGTCCTCACATGGTAGAAGAGATGAAGAGTCTCTGGAGCTTCCTTTATGGTGGCTTCCATCCCATTGATGTGTTCCCCACCCCCATGACCTAATCACCTCCCCAAAGCCTAACACTGTCACCTTTGGGGGTTAGGGTTTCAACATATGAATTTGGGGGAGGTAACAAACATTCATGCCATAACTCTTCCCTCATGGACAGCACCTGAGAAGTGGACTGAGGGGTTTCAGACAATGATCTCCCTATGTTCTCCACCCTGAAATAGAGAGAGAGGACTTGGAACATTTCTCTCCAGTTGTCCTGCCCAAAGCTCTACAGAGCATGGTGGGCACTACCATCTTCCTTCCCCAGTGGTGTGAAGGCACTTCCAGCTCTGTTTGTGAATGAGACGTGCCTTTCTAGAAAGTTCCCAGATATAGATGCACGCGCACGTGTGTGTGTGTGTGTGATGGGTGGGGTGGGTGTATAAAAGGGAGAGAGAAAGAGAGGAGAGGGAGTGAGAGGGAGGTGCCCTTTCGACCTTGTTATACCTATTAGGTAATTGACTAAAAATATGAATAATTTCTTTTACTGCAAATATTTACAGAAAAAAAAATCTTTCTTAAAAGAGCTGTTGAGTTGAAGAATGCGGTGACTGGGTCCGGGAACCATGACGATAGACACAGTGTTGCTTTCTTTTCTAAAAACCCAATAGTGCCGTACTATCCCTGCAAACGTCGGCCGCCAGGCACCTGAACACACAGTCATGCCGGCTTCTGCCGGAAACCAGAAATGGCTGGAAAGCAGCTCTTGTTCTTTCTCTGTACAATGGAGAATCTGCTGAGAATTGCGGTGTGTCTGGAAATGTCAGTATTTTCCACAAACTACCTGCAAGTGGCCACAATTGATCGAGTGCTTGCAATGGATCAGGTGCCTTTCTGAGTGCTTTCCTTGAATGTAACCCTCACGACAGCCGCAGGCCGTAGGTAGGAGGATGGGCCCCGTTTTACAGAGGAGAGCACTGAGGCATGGAGTGCTCAAGCTTCCCTCATGAGGTTGGGTCCTGGCAACAGCTTTGGCTTTTGCATAAATATCCTTCACCACTAGGTGATACTGCCTTCTGTGGTCACCGCGCAGTAACGCCTGGTAGCATCTTGCAGGCAGGAAGCCAGTTAGGAGACAGCTGAGTGTGGGAGCCATGGTGCCCGTAAAGGTAATGAGGGCCACACGGCCAGTAATTGCCACTGGAGCCACCTTCAAGCCTCTTACCTGGAAGACTGCTCTGGACGTGTGTCTCGGTTGCTAACTTCTCTTAGAAGAGTCATGCCTGCCTCTATATCACATCGGATGAAAGCTCGGCAAATCTTCAAATGCTAGCGGGCCTCCGGTGGCGCTTGCCTGGGCAGCTCAACTACCCCTTCCCTGCGCCTGCTGGGTTCACGTTTCTTCCCCTGAAGGGAGATGTTTCTGTTGGAAACCTGGCCTCTGCATAGTGCCCGACTAAATAAAAATAGACGCTGCTGTCACATTCCCTTGTCAAAGGCATCCTTAATCTGGGTCTGCACAGAGGGCTCTGACCTGTCTGTAACAAAAGAGAGGGGACGTGCTCCCCAAACAGCTTCGTGGTGGAGGCAGCATGTTCCAAGCAATGCTTCTGGGAGCTTCTCTGGCATTATTTCAGAGGTTAAGTTGGTGGTTCGGAAAGTGTGTGGTGAAGAGGTGGCTTAAGTGGTTTAGAGGAGACCTCTGGCACTCAGCCCGGGATGGTGGTGGCCCGTGGTGGGGAGTAGACTGTAAGACAGTAGAGTGACCAAGAGGTGATGCTGGGGACACAGGAGACAGCTCTACAAGTGAGTTCATCCCTCTCTCCTGAGCAGTGTGCACACACAGGCTACTAGGCATGAGCCTCTCTCCTGGCTTTGTCTTCCCATGTCTGTCCGCTCAGTAAGGATGCTTGGTCTTCCCAAGGTCATGCCATTGTCCTCACTTGGCTGTCACTTGTCCCTTCCACTAGGGCAGAGTGTCCACATCTGACATCTACTCACCTCCCCAAATAATGAAAATAATGTACTTGAGTTTCTTGCTGGTGTTGGGAAACTTGTTACTCTCTTAGTGCCTGGAAATAACCTTGGTTGGATCGGCCGATTATGTAAAATGATAGCTTCGTTTTTAAACTTTATTCTAATTTTTTATATATATATAGGAGAGCGTGAGAGCAGGGGAGAGGGGGAGACAAGGAGAGAGAGAGAATCTTAAGCAGGCTCCATGCTCAGCATTGAGCCCAACATGGGGCTCGATCCCAGGACCCTGGGATCATGACCTGAGCTGAAATCAAGAGTCAGAGGTTCACTGACTGAGACACTCACGTGCCCCAAAACAATAGTTTCTTGGAGACTCCTCCCACTCTCATACCTTCATGGGGTCTGTTGTATGCCAGGTCCCCTGTCATTATTGTTTATACCCAGGTTAACTGTTTCCTCCATAGTCCCTGGAAGGTGGCTCTCCCTGTACCACTCCTCATATCCATGAGGTTAAGGGGGCATCCATGATTGGAATCAGAGGCCAGAGCAGTTCACGGGAGGAAGGCCAATTTGTTTCTAAAAACCAAAGCAGTAGAGTCCAAAGCCTAACGTGGCTGATGCTTGGGTTTTGCCCCCACACTGTGCTGATCTCCACTGCATATTTCATTGTTCTTCCCCTTCATTGTCGAAAACAGATCCTTTCATTTTCTCTGATTTTTTGCTTCACACTTGGGCAGCCAGAGGGGACTTTTTCAAACCCTTGATTGTGGGCCGACAAGTCGACGCTTCTAAACTTACCCACACCGAATCCATATAGCAAGACAGAACACTGTAATACTCAGACTATGGTTGAATTCCATGACGGGTGTGTTCTAATTGGAAATCATGGTGAATGTAGGTAATCCTTAAGAATGGAGGCTCATGAGGAATGGTTTTGTATTCGCTTACTTAACTTAAACTCTGTTTCAGAATCAACTGCCTATGTCCTTTGGTCCATTCCACATGGACCAAGAGAGTCCATTAATAATTGAGATTATCCTTAGTCACACACACACACACACACGCACACACACACTCTATTCCTTAACTCTCTTGCCAACCTCGAATGTGCACCTGCTGACATATTGAATGCCTCTCTGAATTCTGAGATGCAAGGACAACTGTGCTACACACAATCTTAGCAAGACAATGCTTTGGAAGCCCCAAATCATTGCTTCATTTTTTCTTGTTCTCATGATTTTGATGACCTGTAATATTTTGCATCTATTAAAAATAAAACTGCTCTCTTTTTGTATTTTGTAGAAACTACCTCTTCAGGTTACAGCTTGAGGATTTGTCTCTGATCCAGGTAGGTGCGATTTATCTTTCTCAAGCTTTCATTTTCCATCCCAATGAGCTTACTGTTTGAGGGGATGAAGGCAGATGTACGTAAGGGTATCAATCACCACAGAGCAGCGAGTCAGGCTGCAGGACTCTCAGCTGCCCTGATTCGATACGAGTCATCACCTGCTTTAATTCCCAACTGGCCCTTTTCTCCTACTGTGCAGCCTCCCTACCTTTCATGGGCATCGTCCTGATTTAGTCTTCTCCAAATGAGGGTGAAAATCGTGAATGTATTATAAAATCATGAATGTATTAATAAGAAATCAAAATTATCAGCAGTTTAGCTAAAACACCATTTTAAAACCCAGATTTTGAAGAATCTTTTATAAAAATATAGATCTTTCAATAGATGGGGGCTATGTGTTAGGCTCATTTTGATTCTCATGGTATAATAGACTATCTGCCACATTGTGTGTGTGTTAGGGGGAAAGTGGTGTGTGGAGACGTGTGTAAACACATTTATTTGCATGTATGTGCTCTCTCATTTCCTTGTTTCCTAGTTTTCTTGGCTGGGAGGTTCTCGGAGGACCGTCATTGTAGTAGCAATGAGCACATTTAACATGCAGTTCTTGGTTTCTAAATTTAATTTTCCACTAAAAGGAACTAAAGTTTCTTAGAGAAGTAGCTGCTTCCAGGGTCTGGGCAGAAGAAGTCTCAGAGAAGCCTGGAAGATCTTTTGTTTCAGGAATTCAGGGCGTATTCAAAGAATGATGAGGGCAGGCTAAAAGGACGTAGGCGCTAGCTGAACGTGGGCTCACTGAAGAAACCTGGGACAATTGTATTGTTAAAATAAATAATGATGCTATCAGATTATAACACGGTGAATAAACTAAGAATCAATGACTATATACTAACCTAAAAAATAAATAAATGAATAAAGAAATGAGGCAAGAAAGGATCCATTCTTACTTACTGTCAAATGCCAACTGCCAGATAACAAAGGAATGATTTCATTAAGAGATCATCATTCGGTAACGATCACACTGAAAATTGATGCAGGCAAAAATGGTCAATGGATGCTAAAATTTATGGGTGAGACTTTGATGATGACCAAGATAGTTATAAAGTCTCAAAGTGTTTACCTCTGAGGCATTTATTAATTATAAGAGGAAAATTGTGATTTGATGGTGAAAAACCCAACCATTCTGACCATAACCAAGTAATGGGACAAATGTGTCCTGATTCAGTGCATGGACAAGGACACAGCAAGATTTCCTTGGTATTCCAGCCATCCCACAAACCAAAACTGAGCCTATTCTATAACAAAACTGGCCTCTCCTCTTCAAAAATCACCAGGTCATGAAAGGCATGTAAAGAATGAAGAGCCAGTCCATCAAGGAGAAAAAATGACATGGCAGTCAAATGAAACACTCGATCCAACTTGTATCTTGGAAGAGGAAGAAAAAATGTTTTTTTCTTGCTTCTATAAAGGGCACCGTTGGCACAGCTGGCAAAGTTTTAATGGCTGCCGAGTAGAGAGTAGAAATGTATTGATATTAATTTTCTGATTGCGGTAACTGTAATGCGATTATGTAGGAGAATGACCTCGTTCTCTGGACAAACCTGAGATAAGGAGGGGTAAAGGGCAGCATTTTTCTAACTTCTTCTGAAATCATTTAAAACTTATAATAATGCACACGGAAAGAATGATAAAGCAAATGTGATAAAATAATTAATGGGCAAACCTAGGAATTTCAGTGAAGCATTTATGAGAGTCCATTGTGTTTTTCTTGCAACTTTAGTTATTTCAGAATAAATAGATGCAAAGAATCAGGTCATGCTTTGGCCATTGACACATGTGTGATATTGCCGTGGGGATGAGGAAATGAAGTTGCTTTTCCCACCATTGTTTCCCATTGTTGTGATGGCCTTTTGGTGGAAGTTTGTTGAGGTTATTGGTTGAAAACCCATCAGCATGACCACCTGGTGAGAGAGCACGGCTTCCAGACAAGGACCCAACAAGAAGTCAGTGACTTTCTGAATGGTGGCTTTGATGACACAGCCCTGGTGCCAGCTGTCAGACATCACTCTGCTGTTGGTGCAAAACAGTGAAAGTCTCCTCTTGCACAATTTTGTGGTTGTTTGTGCTGCTTGAAGGCCTACTATTTACTCCATGTGGAGAGTGATAAAGGTGGCCGTTCCTCCCGACAGACTCTTCTTTCCTACATGTCTTCTCGATTTCTGTGGACTATTTATTTTAATGTAAATGGCTATTTCCAAGGGTGACCAAAAAGCAGATGTACAGATAAAGAAAGGGCTGTACTGATGTTATAATCAGCACAGTCCAATAGAAACATAATGTGAGCCTCACGGGTAGTTTATTGAAACTGGTCATTTTGAAACAAGTACAAAGAAATGGGAATAAGTTTCAATAACATATTTGTCTTAACTGATCTTAACAATATTTCAACATGGACTCATTTCATGAAATCAATGAGATGTTATATTTCCTTTTTTAAAAATTAAATCTATAAAATCTCATGTGTATTTTACACGTGGAGCATGTTTTGATTCCGACTGGCCACCAATTCAAGATTTCACTGTGGCAAGTGCTACCCCATTGGATGGGGCAGTTCTAGAGAGTGTGTACAGAATTGTTTATGACTCGGATGCCTTCATAGAAATGTTATTTTCTACTGAGATCAGCTGGATTTATTTGAACATCTCAGGCTAATAATTTCCTCCTTCCCTCTCTCACTAAAGGTAACAAGTGATAGTTTCAACAAGGAAAGTGGGGAAGCTGAGGTGAGGGGGAGAACGGTTTTCCACAGAGTGGAGATAATCAGTATTGAGAGTCGGCAAGAGCCCTTATCTCACACCGGAAAAGGCTTCATTTGATCTCATTCCTCACCACAGGACGGCAGGGTCCACTTCCAGTGGCTGCTGGCATTGATCCTGTCTCTCCCCATCGCCGTGGGGGCGCCTCCACCTCGTCTGTCACGTCAAGCTGCTTATAGCTTCCTAGCAGTGACGTTCTTTTACTAGCATCAAGCAAGTGCGTGACCTTGCTGTCCTTTCTGGTAAACACTTTTCTCCATCCTCTTCTTAATTGAGAAAAAGATTGCCGATCCTGAGTCCCTAGTAGATACTCATCCTGAGTCACTTTGGGCAGGTGACCCTCTGATTCATTTCATAGCCTCACAGCCTCTGTTTCTGAAGAGAACCCATTGATTCACATGGAAATTCACTCTGTGTGTGGTGAGGAACATTCTATTTCTGTCTCCTTTCTGTTGGGTCACTAGATTAGATTACCCACAGGTGGTAGACTGGAGACAAATGTCTGTGTTAATGCCTTGATTTCGAGTAATATGTTCACCCTTTAACTTTTTAAACTCCGCTTTAGTGGGATGGAGTTAAGCCTCATATTTGTGTCCCTAAATTCAAGAGAAGGAAAGGAACACAACTCAGATACTAGAACAATGAAGGCTGCTTGGTAAACGAGGCATCCAGGAATACCTGTGTGTTCTGGATACTTCTAGGACAATGCAGGTGACTGTACTCTGATCTGCTCCTTTCTGACACGAAAGCCACCTGTCTGCTCAGTAATGCTCTGTACTCTTCCTCTGCCCGGGATTCATCTCTTGCCTTGGAAAGTGTTTTAGAATCAGTAACAACAAAGAAGATGCTGAATAATGTTCTTTTTCTCCTTCTGTTGGGTGGTTGTTACAGAATTCTAGAGACTGTCTCCCATGAATGACCCCTGAATTCAATGTGCTGCTGGACGCAGAGTAGCCAGCACAGCCCCCGGCCAGACGAACAGCACAGTGAACACTTCTCAGTGCACCCTCCCACTCCCCACTCCCTCAGATCAAGGTGGTCCCCACACTGGTGATCCCGGTTTATGTTGTTTGGTGAAAGGAGAAGAGGAGGGGCCAGGTCTTGTTCCTCCCTGAACGGAGATTGAAGGACGGGACAAGGGTTGCCGACATTATGCAGAGGAGTCAGAGCATAGCATCCACCCAGACACGGCCGTGCCTTGGGACTCAGCTTGTGCTGAGATCCGCTGGTGAGAAAAATGGACCTCCTTGGGGTGGCCTCAGTATGGGAAAATTCACAGTGAGGTCCGATTGCCTGAAAAGCCTGATGCTGAAAGCAGTCTGGAGGTTCCACAGAACCCGGATTCAGAGTAGCCTTTCCCTTTGCCTCTCTACTTAGGATGAGACGTCACTGGTGGGCTTCTAAAGCAGGAAAGGTTTGATCCAGGTTTAGGTCGGACACAGTTCCTCTGTTACCCTCGGTGAACATTGTCTGTCTGAGGAAAATGTCTTGGCATCACCACAAAAATCTGCAACTATAGGTGTACCGCGAGGTAAAATGCCTGTACTCGGAATATTTGTTATGATTTTCAAACAGGCACACCTCATGTAGTAAAGTGAAAGACCAAGAGTTGCTTTTAATTTAAGGGAAGAGAACTTGGTTTTCATCAATGTCTAGAGAATCAGACATCAACGTGATATCATCTATAAGGCATCTTTCCACTCAGAGGCTGTGATCAGTTTCCTTGTGGCCACCGAGTGCTGCAATTTAGCTGTGACATCTTGAAAGCCAGTCAGGCTTGGTGATAGAAAACGTGGCCACTCTCCATTATGAGTGTGTCCCATGTCTTGTCGTGATAGTCAGACTCAACTCTTCAGCTCACCTTCCTTCTTGCTTTGATCAACAACAGTTATTTTGCAAGAACAAAGAAGGTTTTTGAGAAGTACAGAAATGCAGCCGGCCTCAAGGCTAATGGACGGCATTTGCCCATCTGTGAGGATGCCTGGGATGACCGAGGTAGAAACTCCATGAACAGCATCCTAAGAACACAAAGAGACTGTAGCTCATTTAGGTTCCCTATCTTTCTAATATTCTTTGAGGAAATTGCTCCAAATTCATTTTTATATTGTTTTGTTACCGAGGGAAAGGAATTCACAGCCCATTTCTCACAACTGCTGAAATAAGCAGAAAAATTTAAATCTGTGCTCC